TCATAGCTAGCTAGGACACTCTTTAGCTAATTTTTCCAATTTCTTTGTTTCAATCAAACATTTGAGTCAACATTCAGAATTCTAAAACTTGAATGAGCCGTTGGTTGAGTTCATCTTGACTATATTGACTAATCTATATCTTTATATTGAATTTTCCATCCAATTAGAAGCTTTTGGATGTTTTCACTTATTCAAGTTCTCTTTCATGCCCATTGGGAAAGCTTACTTTTATTATAAAAGTTTTAAAATAACTCGAAAGCAGAAAAAATAATACAATGAAATTTGCTTATATAGCTCCCAGACTTGGCAATAATCATGACATATACATAATACATGTGTATCTGTGCACACTCTCGTCCTGTAACACATGATCATAGGTCTGTCAATGACCATCTTGAATAAATAGTAGTCTCATAAGGCCATAGCCTAATGGCATCATAACTGCTTTAATTTCCATGAGAATGCTCAGAAAATAATAAAGATGGCTAGTTAATATCTCTCAAAATATATCCCTGGTGATAACTGGTGTTGACTATTAATGACTATATAATTGTAATATCAAAATCAACAAGAGTTCTTGGTTGCCTATCTCTTAACCAAATTTTACCAATCTAAAATTTGTTTTACAGGCTTTTTGTTGTTCAAATCAATGTTTATCACTTAGACTTTTTGGCATGTCTTCAACAATCCTCTTCATTTATTTATTTGTCTTATCACAAACTTATTGATGAAACTGTATTGTCATGTAGAGTTGCCATATTATTAATTTGCTATTGCTGAGCCTTGATGTCCTGAAATATGTGCCCGTAAGCCCATGGCATTTTCTGCTAAGTAGTTACTTATATCTAAAGACTAAATCGAATTTACTCTCAATCATTCTGTATGTTTCCTCGGTGGAGTAAAATCACTTCCTAACTCATGCCAAGCATGTATTCAATCAGTAGATATGGATGTTTAGATTAATCAATAGAATTGGATTTCATTGCACTCAAGCATCCATTACAAAGTTCTTATTTGAGCCATTGGTATCAGCTTACTCCTATGATTTCATTAGGAATTACAAATAGTGATATTTAACTCTTCCATCTTTCTGTATTAGCATCTCTTGGTTCATCACTTTGAGATAAAAGTTTTTTCTGACTTCTCTGTGTTTAAGTCAGTAAGCTGGTTCCTAGCACTCGATGAATATGACCAACTCACTTAAAACAAATATTAGTCCACAAATACTGAAATATCTCCTATCTTCTACTCTTTAGTGGTTTTGTTTCTCCAGCATTGGCTACTCCTTAGTCCTGGCCCTGGACTCTTTGTTGATTTACTCATTTTGTGTCAGAAACGAGGGCTTCAGCCTTCTCTCAGGTTTCTTGATCCAACACTATAATAACTTGTTCTTTTCCAAAAGAATTTACCTTGCCTTTTGTCCTACCTAATGCTCTATTACTGTGAGAAGACATCATGACCAAAATAGCCCTCATAATAGGAAGCATTTAACTGGGGGCTTGTTAACAGCTTTAGAGGGTTAGTCTATGGTCATTATAGTGGGAAGCAGACAGGCATGGTGCTGGAGCAGTAGCTGAGAGTGTTATATCCTCATCCAAGGCAGTGGGCAGAGGAAGCCATGGTGCCTTGTCTGGGCTTTTTAAACCTCAAAACCTACCCACCAGTGATACACCCCTCCAACAAGGCACACCTCCTAATTCTTCCCAAACAGTTCCACCTACTGGGGAACAAACATTCCAATATCTGATCCCACGGGGGTCATTTGCGTTAGGACCACCACACCTTTTGTTATATCTTTCTTGTTCTTGAACTTTTTATTCAAGAATTTCTCCATTATTCTAGATTTTGTTCACAGTGTTCTTTCTGGGTTCCCCAATGGGCTTCATTTAGCATACATGTATGCATACATATTTCTCAGCCTTTTCAAATACTATATAGTAATAATGAAAGTATATGAATATAGATTTTCATATCTGACTGAACATAGTTCATATCTGACTTTTTCCACCTTTAAATTTTGCTTTGATACAGATGCAGTTTCTATTATTAAAGTTTCTTTCAAGTATATTTCAATGGCTAATTGCTTTTCATAGTGTGTGGGAAAGTTGAAAAACATTTCAGGATTTTTCTATTTCTTTCACAGTAATTATTATAGCAAGCAATTATATTCATTTTTTGATGCACCTCAGAATTATTTTCACTTCTTAGATAGATACATGCTCTAGAATGAAGGACAGATTCTGTACTAATCAAAGAGTCACCAAATTGCTTTTTAAAATATGTACCTACACTCTTATCAGTAGATTGGCAATATGACCCATATTAGTTGATATTGGGTACTTTACTTTAAGTTCAAAGCCACTAGTGCATATATTTATTATGTTTCACTTTAATTATTGTGCAATTTTAGAATGCTATTTAATAAACGATTTTTTGTTTATTTACCTTTCATTTGCAATTCCTCCTTTAAAGACTGGGTTTCATTTTCTAATTTTCTTGTATGTATGTTGGGAAGTCTTTTTCAATTTATCAGAATTCTTTACATCCGGGGAAATTCCGTCAACATTTGTAAATAAATAACAATAATTGTTGAAAGCATTTCCCTAGTTTGTCATGTGATTTGAAGTTTACAATGCCTAAAATACAAAGTAAATAAACTATATTAGGCGTTTCTTTGGTGCTTTTGAAAACATTGTTTTGATTTAGATAAAGATGTATCATCTGGAATTGAGTATACTAGTGCACTTGCTTAGGGTAGGAGGCTCACAAGGGACAGTGGGGCAGTGTGGTGAGAGAGCAAGCACAGACAAGGGCAAGGATGCTGTGAACGTGCATATGTTTAGTGTCTTGATTGGATAACCATAAGACTTAAGTTTGTGCAGTTTATTAGACATTGAAGTATACTTTCATAGCTCAGAACCCACAAGTGATCACTTCCAAGACCCCTCTTCAGGGTAGCAAAGTCAAGTCTTTATTTTAAATGGTGGTCTATTTGCATAGATTCTACGCACACCATCCTGAGGATTTGGACCCCAACATTCACACAATCTCTCTCTCTCTCCTTTCTTCTCTCTTTCTCTCTCTGTGCACATGTGTGTATGTATGTTTATTTATCTGTCTGTGTTTGTGTGTGTGTGTGTGTGTGTGTGTGTGTGAGAGAGAGAGAGAGAGAGAGAGAGAGAGAGAGAGAGAGAGAGGGAGAGAGGGAGGGAGGGAGGGACGGAGAGAGAGAGAGAGAGAGAGAGAGAGAGAGAGAGAGAGAGAGAGAGATGTAGTTGCATAAGCCCATGCAAATGGGAAGCAAGAGGCAAAGACTAGAAAGAAAAACTACGAGGAAATTGCTGGCAACTACATGAAAGAATTTCCAATCATTTCAATGAAAACCACAGGAGAGAGCAGGATGGGGTCTAAGCTGACCAGATCCAGCAAAGCCTGTGAGAACCTAAGGTGCCTGTGATTCCCCTGAGGATTCCATTAGCTACCATGCATATTCTGACTCTCCAAGACACAGTGACAGATTGATATTTTCCTCAGTCTATCAAGCATATGAGGCTGCCTATCATTCATTCATCCTTTGAGGAGTAAGGGAATATGATTTTGACTATTCGTGGGGGGAGCTAAGATACAAAACAAGACCCTGAAGTTTGCATCTCATCACATCCTAGAGGTTCAGACTTAATTGATGCAGAATGCAGCCTGGGTATCTTAGTTTGCTGTTGCACTGACAAAATACCCAAGAGAAATCCATTTAAAGAAAGAAGTTTTCTTATTGGTTTATGGTTAAGTTGTTTTAGGCCCTGGTCACTGGGACCATTGCCTTTGAACTATTGTGAGACAGAACGTTGTGGCCAAAGTGCATAGGGAGGAACCTGTCCACAGTGGCTGGAGAGGAAGGGACTAGAGGCCAAAACCCCATTCAAATGTACTCTGTTTATGACCTCATTTTCTTCCATGAGACCCTGATTCATAAAAACTCCGTGATCTCCTAATACTGCTACGGGCCACAAATCAAGTTCGTAATGCATGGGTCTTTGGAGCACATTTAAAATTTAAATTTTAACCTCAAATAAGTAACTTATTTATTTATTTACCTACTTATCCTTTGAGAATTTCATTGGTAACTTCTCCAGGAGGTTGTAATGTTCAGTCAAAGTTGAGCATCCCTACATAAGATCGATTTCTTTAATGAACCAAAGAATAAAGAGAACATTACTCTAAAGACTAATACAGATGAGAGAGGACCAGAAAGACATAAAAAAAAAATACCCTATTTCAGTTCATGCAAATTTACCTGAGCGTCATCTACTCCTATATGTTCCTGCGTGTGTAGAAGATGCCTTTCTGACCTAGGAATATGTACCAGAAAAATGGCTAGATAGGTGGGAGCAAGGCATTCTTGAGATTAGAGCCACCAGAAAGACTTTGCAATGGTTGATGTGAACTGGGCAGGTTTATTGGGCTCACACACCTACCAAGGCATCTGCAGACTTTTCATCATGAGATAACCAACAGCCTGCCTCCTCCTTCCAACCAATGGGTTACATTAAGGAATAGCAAATGATCCTTCCATAGCCCAACACGTCCCAGACTTATTTGAAGCATCATTTCCAGTTGAGCTACATTTAACTTCAGTAGGTTGGAAATGACTTTTTGATCTGTGTTGCAAGTTTGCCTGAGCACCACAGAAACTGATTGTGAATCCATGAAGCACACGCATCATAGAATGTCTAATGAGACACGTCAATTTAATTGTGCTTCAAGACATCCAGGGCCAGAGTTTGTCAGCATTTTGCTGACAAATGTCCTCATTTGCAGACTGATCTTCGGTACTGACTATGTTCACTCTGGCTTAAAATATTGGGAAATGAGCTATGCTTTGAGAAACAAAAGACATCTTTTCTCTGGGTAGACAGGCTCTCAGGCTAGCAATGGCATGAACTTGTGAGGGTTTGGAAACAGACTGGCGGGTTAAAGGTCACCGTTCTTCCATCCTGATGCAGAAGACGCTGTGTATCTGGACGATGAGAGAGAGCGAGAAGAGTACGTCCTGAATGACATTGGAGTGATATTTTATGGGGACTTCAGTGACATCAAGAGCAGAAGCTGGAGCTACGGCCAGGTGAGCCACTTAAAATTTGTCATTGTCAAGGGCATTTTTACCTTAATATTTTTTGTCACATTTATTACTGCCAGGTGCCATGAGTCAATATTAGAAAAGTGCAATTTCCTGCTTTTCAGGATCTGAGACTCCAAGACAGAGTGCATGGGAGTGGAGACCTAGAGAGAAACTGCATAATTTATCAGCTGGAGCCACCTCTCTTCCTCTTATTACAGATGTCCCTGACACTGGGGCACCTACCACTAACATGGCGGTCACTGAAATAAACTTTGCCATCTTAGAAACCATAGAATCTCATTACTTCAATCTGAAATAAGCCAAAAATTTTCTTTGCTTATGAAGGCATTTTTGATGCAAAGAGTATAGCAGGGGTGTGCTAAATGTAAAGGATTTTAATATGATAACTGACAATAATTTAAATGCATCATGAATATAAATGGTATACAGTATAATAATAACAATTAAAATACATCTTAAAATGTCTTAGGAGTCAGTGATATGGCTTAATGACTAAAAGCATTCACCACCAAATTTATTATTTATTATTTTTAATTAATTTATTTTTTACATACTGACTACCATTTCTTGTCCCCCTTCTCCTCCCATCCCCTCTCCTCTCTTCCTGCATTTCAGTTCAGAAAAGGGCAGGCCTCCCATGTGTATCAACAATATGGCATATCAAACTGCAGCTAGACTAAACACTGCCCCATGTATTAATGGTGGGCATGGCAACCCAGAATGAGGAGGAGAGTCCCAAAAGCCAGCAAAAGAACTGGAGACACCGAATTTAACAATCTGAGCTCAGTATAGGACCCCACGTGGTAGAAGAAAAGAACTGACACACCTCAAATTTCTCTAATCCTCACGTAAACATCTTGGCACATTCTCTCTCTCTCTCTCTCTCTCTCTCTCTCTCACACACACACACACACACACACACACACACATACACACACACACACCACTTAATAAGCAAAAATGTAGTAAAAGTAATCAAAAAGCCTTGTGTATATTTTAAAGCGTGACTCTATTAACAATAATTATTAAGAAAGAAAGACTATTCCAGTTTTGTCAGAGGATGTCTACTAGGTTTTTCCAGAAAGCATCTAGAGGTGTTTCCATCAGTTGCAACCTCAAGTTACTATTTAGGGGCCCAAGTAGATAACAGTAACTCCTTAAAATTTTCAATCACTTTTAGGCTCTAGAAACTGCCTTGTCCCAAAGAAAGGGGATCTCGGAGGACTTTCACTTCATGAGGGCTCCTCCTGTCTTACATGCAAGCCAAAATCTGACTACCTTCCTGTGATACATCTGAATGCCATTTCTTTTCTTTTATGTTTTTATTTTGTTTGTTTAATTTTTTGAGAAATATGGGGTTTCTCTGTGTAGCTGTAGCTGTCCTGGAACTCACTCTATAAATGAGGCTGACCTCGAACTCAGAGCTCTTCCTGCCTCTGCCTCTGCTGGGATTGATTAAAGGTGGACACCACACTGCCCGACTTCCTTTTATTTATTTGGTTGGTTAGTTAGTTGGTTGGTTTTTTGAGACAGGGTTTCACTGTTTAGCTTTGGCTGTCTTAGAACTCACTTTGTAGACAAGGCTGCCTCGAACTCACAAAGATCAGCCTACCTCTGCCTCCCTAGTGCTGGGATTAAAGGCATGTGCCACCACCGCCCAGCCAATTTTTTTTTAAATTAAAAACAGATTTTTTTTAACGTGATATATTTTGATTATGGTTCTCCTCCCCCAATTCTTCCCAGATCTTCCCTCCTCCCCACCCACCCAAACCATATCCTCCCTTGCACTCTCTCGTTAGAAAACAAGTAGGTATCTAAAAAGGAAATAATAATAATAAAATAAGAGAAAATAGAAAACCAAGTTTGTTTTGGAGTCCCAAGTGACTTTGGGAAATCATTGTGCTCTGGGCAATACATCCATCTGTTGGAAGGATCATAATAAACTTGTACAGTGTCCTAAAGAGCCTAGAGTCGGTGTGCGGTTCTTGAGTACGCTGGCTCTTATTTCTGGCTCCCTTTTCTGTTCTCCTCTATATTATGGAAAAGTAAAAGCAGGACACATCCTTTCCTTCACTTTAAGAGTTCATGCTAAAGGTTATAGGCCGTCACTCCATATTTCTAAGCAGTAAATTGTGGCTGCATTTTGCTTTTGCACACAGTTTATCTTGTTTTGCAGAGTGGAGATTAAATAGTTTCTCATTGTTTCTCCCAAACAGTTTGAAGACGGCATCCTGGATGCTTGCTTATACGTGATGGACAAGGCTCAGATGGACCTTTCTGGCAGAGGGAACCCCATCAAAGTCAGCCGTGTGGGATCTGCAATGGTAAGTGGCAGGGCTGCGGATGATAAAGGGATATGGACACAAACAGTGATTTAGCTTTACAGTCTTTCATCTGTTAGGTTCGGGTTGATATTGTCCAGATGTTCCTGAATTCTCTCACTTTTTCATATGCTACAAAATGAAAATTTCCACTCAAAGCTGTTTGTGGGTTTTGATTCATGCCAAACTTGGTGCCAGGTCATTTTGACCCATTGAGTCATTTTGCCAGTCGCTATGCAGCTAAAAATCTCATCTAGAAACTAAGAAATGATCATGATGAAAATGTTAATTACTGTAACCAAATGATAAATCAATAAAACATCAACAATATAGGCAACTAGATAAGACATGATTTTTTTCCGTGTCTACACCCATGGAGACAGTCAAGAAATAAATGGTTGGGGCTGGAGAGATGGCTCAGTATGGAGTGAGTATGTGTAGAGGACCCAACTTCAGTTCCCAGCGCCAACATCAGGCAGCTGACAAGCAACTATAACTCTAGCTCCAGGGGAATGGATCCCCTCTCCTGGCCTCCAAAGAGCACTCATCTACTCAGGTGCACCACATTCTCAACCTATACACATAATTAAAAATAAAGTAAATCCTTTGTAAAAGAAAGAAATACCTTGTGTAGTCAATCCTAGTTGCTATGCAATACTACCACACCATGGGGCTTTACGCTCATAAATAAGTGTTGATTCTCTGCAGAAATCTTCTGAGTCAGTGGACATTCATCACTTATGTCGTCTCACAGCAAGAAAACCGGACAGGGAAAGCTTGTCAGAGATAAAGCTCCTGCCAGAACCTAGGTCTGCCAACTCCGCAGAGTCTACCTTCCTCACTATTCGCTGTAGGAGGTCCCACAACCTCTTCAAGAATGCAGAAATCTCCCAGGGGAGCAGCTGAAGAGGAGCTCGAAGCCCATGAATAAGAAGGGTAGGACTAGGGTAGGAAGCTAACTAAGCGACTCTGCATGGTCCTAACCTGTACCATGTTCATAGTTCTCAGATGACCTTCGGTGCATGAATGAGCATCATGTCTGGTCCAGGAGTACAGCACTCCTCAGTTATAGTAGGTCACATCATTACATAGGAAGACTGAATGGAAAACATCGTTATATTACCTTCACCTTTACAGCTCCGAAAATATTTTCCCTGGAAGGATTTTATCTTTGAGTTTTGGTTTGTGCATATTTTCAGCCAAACAAAATCAATTCTGTTGACACATAATTACTAGGCCAGGGAAGATATAATATGTACATTCTGATTGGGTGCTAAAAATAGTGATTTTTATTTTTATTAAGAACTAAGTTACATGGAAATTTAAGACATACTAGATCTTACAAAATGAAAGCAGAATCCAACTTCTAAAATCTTGGGACCAGAGTCTCAGCTCACTGGTGAGAGCATAGATTGTCTACTTAACATGTGTGAAGCCTGGGAGAGGTCTGCTCAACCCTTGACCCCTAAATAATGAACATGTACATCTAAATACATAAAATAAATAGGCAGCATTTGCTTTTTGATGCTATTTTATTGCATGATGAAAAGAGGATCCATCCTAAAGGCCTCTGAGAATGTCCACAGAGCGTTCTTGTATAACACACATTGGACCTGCACTCATTCATTATGGTTCCTATTGGAAGAGAAACTTCCCTTCTTTTTTCTTCCTCCTTAGAAACAACCCTGACAGGTTTCAGTGAAGAGAGAAGCAATATTTAGGAGTGATGGGATATGAGTTGTTTTCCTCTTAAGCATTTTAAAATGACGTGGTCTTTGACTTGACTTTCCACACCCACTGTGCGTACTCTCACCAAATATGGAAATCACAAGCCAATGCAAAGCAGTGCAGAAGGAAGGCAAACAGAGACAATTTTACCCAGACATCTGTGGCTGCATCTGACCCGGTGGAGGATGTTAGGTATTGAATTAAACACGTGACACCAATTCAAACTACCTCAACATTTCCTTAGGTCTAGAGAGCCTCTCCCTAAAGTTCAGACTTGGCCAATGCACATCATAGTTACACAGCCTGGAACCAGAGAGATAAAATGTGCATAGAGGATAGCATGGTGAGGGTTTGATTTTGTTTCTGGATGGGGTTGACCTTGGATGTTAAAGGACAGAGGACTGCTCTGAGCAATTTGTAGTGATCTTTCCACTTCCCCCTCGGTTCCCCCGTACAGTACAGAGAGCTCAATTGTGAGAGAAACCCAGTCACCTATGCCATCTCTCTTAATCCTCAGAACAGCTTTGTGAGTCTTTCCGAAATCTTTTCAGCTATAGAGATTTTTAAAGCTGAAACACTGAGCCTCCAAAACTGACCTTCTAATTTCCCAGTTAAACATTTACGTTAAGATGTGAAAAGATGCATTAGGAAAATATGGAAAGAACAGGTATGAGGCTGGGTGAGTCAAGCCAAAAACAAGCTTCACAAGTCTATGGCCATGTTATTCTCCCCACCTGCTCCCCAAACCCCAGGCAGACAGCACCTGATGCAGGGGTGTTTTCCTTGTCCCTTTCAAATGTGTCTTAACCCTGCCCCTGGCTAGATGTGGTAGAACAGAGATGCGTGTGAGCTGCAAACCCTTCCGGAGGACCACACAAACCCGGCATGCATGGATTCCAGTTCTTGCACAATGAGAATCATTGCAGATAGGACCTTCCTGAAGCTAGCTACTCCAGCAAGTCATGGGCAGGAGAGGGCTGGCTCTGACTGGGCACCTGGAGAAAGTAGAACCAGCAGGAAGATGGAACAGGAGCACTTGACTGGAGCCCCAAAGGCAAACTGGCTTCCTGCAGTCATGGCGCACAAGGTTGGCAAGGACAGGGGAGGAAACTGGGTATGTGTGAGGATGAAAGAACACAGATGATGACAAACTTTCAAATGATAATATGAATTTGGCTTTTAAGTGTACAATTTCCAGACAAAAATCTTTGTAGTACGGGATACCTGCTATACCAGTCTTACAAGGTATCTGCTTTACCAGTCTTGTGTGTGATAGACTGCCCAACAGCATCCTGTAGCCTCTACTCAGGAATTCCAGGAGGACCTTCCCATAAAACACCAGTTGTGACATGCAAGAATGTCTTCAGATGTTACCAAATGCTCCTTGTGGGTACAAATCAACCTAACAAGGACTGCGTTGCAAGTCCCCCCTGTGCTCAGTTTTCCCTCCTATAGAATGGCTGTAACACCTTCTTGCCTGCATAGTAGGCCTTATTCTGTCTTGCTTTCCATCTTTTACTGAAGAGATGGTGAGGGTTGCTTTACGCTAGAGGGCCTGTGACTGTGTCAAGAGATGGACCCCTGGCTCTGGTTCTTCTGTTAACCACATGAAGCAGGGAAGAACACTTAACTCAAGGACATACATCTTCCTGTCTCAAAGGAAGTGTTGTCTATTCAGATACCTGAAATTCCCACTGTTAGCAAGAACATCTTTTATATACTTCGAAGGAAAATTTTTTTATTCTGCTTTATGTATCCAGTATCTCCTATTGTTATGTTTGGTTGCTATTATTTCCCTTCGATGAGACAGTGGGAAACATGGGTGACCATCTGGAAGCCTGGAGTTGTCAGCCTTTCGCAAGGGAGTTCACAACCTGAACTCCTCTAACCCTGCTCTCTGGGGAATGAGCCCGAGATGTTATGACCTTACACAGATGACATCTTATTTAGAATCACCTAAATGAGGAATGATGCATTTTACTAATATTATGTTATAGGTTCATTTAAGAGAGAAAAAGGGGGAAAAACATGAGACTTGACAAAGATAATTGTCCTAAGTTTTACTACTTCCCTTTAACTGTTTGCCTCATTCCTGATGTGACAGTACCCTCAGAGAACCGCTGGAAAGTATACCAGAAAAAGTTAAGTGGTGACATCTGAAAATGTATTTCACTCACCTAACGTTAAAAGTCTTCAGTTGCTGCCTTAGGTTGCAGTGAAGCATCTAGGTATGGGCTCTGAGTCCCCAAAAAGACATGGACTCAGAGACCACAGGAGGCATTAGCTCTAAGACCCCGGGAGGCATCAGTAATGACAGGCTATTGTCACAGTGGTCTCCTTGTCCCTAGACTGCTTTGTTCTTCCTATACATTTTTATTATTGGGGTGCTCAGAGCTCATACCCCAGAAGGCATGACTGATCGGCTCTGGCACTGTCCCTAGGGGAAGCTGCAGCAGCTGCAGAGGCCTCTCTTGCTGCAGATACCAGGCTGCTTAGTCACTGTTCAAGTCCTAAATGCCCTGCCTACATGTCCGTTTGCTTTGTCTGTAGAGGATCTACATGAAAATCAGTCATGAGCTCTAGAAGCCTCTCCAGAGTCCTGGAGATGAGAAAGCAGAAGCCCTTAGAAGCGTTGCCATTCATTCAATGTCATGTGGGAAATAAGTGGCTGAGCTGGAACTAGACACTGTCCTCTTTCTCAAAACATATTGCTTCAGAGCATCTCTGCCAGCACAGTGTTGCCAATAGCTCAATCACTGCATCAAGTTGTGCGGCTGTCACCTAGAAAAGGACAAGTCCCTAAGAATAGGTGGATTTAGAAGAGGGGGATAAGTAAGGAAAGGTGTCAAGATCTCAGCAGCTGGAGGCTCTGTGTCCCTGGGAAAGAGGTCACCAAGAGGATTAGATGCCAAATGTGCTATGGTAGAAGAATGATAATAACGACAGTGACGGCAATGGTATTGGTGATCAGGTGATCATGGTGATGATGAGAGTGGTAATAGTGATTATGGTGGTGGAAAGAGTGATAACCACGGTGAGGGTGGTACTAGTGATGGTGATATGATGTGATGATCACGGAAATGGTGACAGAAACACTGAGAGTGTGGTGAGCGTACAGTAGAGGTAACAGTGGTGGTGGGGATGGTGATGGTGGTGATGTCATAGTGATCGTGCTTCAGGTAACAGCAGCAATAATGATGAGGATGATTTGTAGAGGGTGGGAATGGTAGTGGTGGTGGTGGTGGTGGTGGTGATGATGATGATGCAGTGGTAGT